CCGTTCAGGTCCACGAAATGATGGGTGACATCGCGGAGGACCTGGACATGGCCAAGGAGATCACAGATGCCATTTCCAACCCAGTTGCCTTCGGTCGGAACATGGACGAAGACGAGCTCGAACGGGAACTGGAAGAACTAGAGCAGGAGGAAACGCACAGAGAACTGATCGCGGTGGACTCTTCCAAATGGCTCCCCAAGCACTTGACGGAGGAAGCAGCCGTTCCCGGCTGGCCTATCCGCTCGGGCCCTGCGAGGCGCCAAGTGAGATCGCTTTCTTCCTCAAAGGGACTGCTCTTGTTATTGCAGTCTTGATTAGTTTTTTTTTTGTCTTCATCTGAGACGAATGCAAGAGAAGGTTTTCCTTTTTCAAGTGGGGCCCAAAAATTGGTTTCTTTTTCTTCCGAATTCCTTCATTGTGAGAATAATAATAAGACCAACTAGTATCAGGTTGATCTAATTTCAAAGCATATCTCAGACGTTTCTTTTCCTGTTGGTTTCAGATTTTGAAGAGATAACAGCGAAGGGCCGTTCACGGAAAAATAAGTGCAGTATGAGTTACCAGACATAAATGAACCAAGTTTAAAAAAAAAAGTGGGTAGTTGAAAAGGCGGTTGAATAAATATTTAAGCCTCTGGAATTTAACACAAATGATCGATCAAAATTTTCATCTATCTAATTTTTTTCATGGAGAAAGCTTTTGCACATAAATCTGAACATCCCTTTAAAATGCTTTCAATGAAAAATCTGAAACAAGGACAAGTTTCGTTTTATACGCTTCCAAATCATGCCAAGCCGGACCTAGTAGCACTTCAGGTTTTTCCTGTTACGCGGGTTATCCCTTGGAAAGTGATATGCCCTGTAGAGTAAGTAGATAAGTTAAAAGCTGTGTTTGCTTCTCTTTTAGGCGGAAGTCGATGACGAAGACATGAGGCAGTTGGCCGCCTGGGCAACGTAAAACTCGGCATCGCATGCAAAATGGAAACGAATGTGCCTCATGTGATACCAAACGAATAGTAGTCCGATCGACTCGCAATGGCACAAACCAGGAAGAAGAAAATGTGGTGTCTGATGGTGCTCATCAGAATCTGTTCGAGTTATTTTTTAAGTGAAATTTCAATCGTGCAAAGCCATATCTTTGACAGACCAAATATGACGACTGTAGAAAACATTTGCAAGTTTTTAAGGCTCTCGTCTCCTTCGTGTCCTTGAATCTATTGTGAAATTTCTTTTGAGGGATAGCGGAACTAATTGAACCGAAACAGATTTTGATCAAATACGATATTTCATGAACATATTGCCTCGATGAATCAAAAGAGAGGTGGTAACTCTTTTCGATGAATATAATAAAGTGTAACCATAATTTAAATATAATAAAATGTGTTTTTTCTTACCTGTTGCAGTGTATTCCATAGTTTATAGAGGATCGGGAAATCTGCATGCTTGAAAAGCCTTTTTTAAATATTCCATTCATGCATTAAACAATCCCTGCGAATGCTGTGTACGCATGGAGTGAATGAGGAAAAGTGCTTCAACCTGGTTTTCAGCCGTGTGACATAGCAGGGAGTTTTTCTACAGCTACACCTACATTGGCGTATAGACTATTGGAAATAAATCACGTTAATATAATTGGCTTATACTAGATGCCATTGTGTTTTATGAAATGTGCTGGAAGCAGTTACAAGAGAAACAAAATAAAATTATGTAGCAACCAAGATTGTGCCCGTGGCCTGCATCGGGGCAAAGGCAAACTCCCCAGCAAGCAAAGGAACATTCAATCAGCCTTGCATGAACGTTAATTTTTAACATTTCCAGCGTTGTGGTGGCGTTACATCTAACATTAAGTCAATATTTAAATGTCTCCAATGAGACCCAAGGCCAAGATGCTAAAAGAGTCCATCCAGCTGTCCACATCCATACAGTGGTTTCCGAGGGGTCTATATTTATTGGGTTTAGTTTTGCCTTGGGTCTCTAGAAACTTAGGGGCGGGGCCTGGGGGTTGGACGCCGTCCCGCCAATGCAGAAATGCAGAGAAATCTCATTTTGAGAATCGATTTTCCCCTTAACCCAGGCCGTTGCTGATAAGAAATTTATTCATCTTGAGGTAACGAGCGCCTGTTTGAGATTATAAATGATAACGGAAACGAGAAGTCTTCACTCCTTAGGAATATTTTTGCTGTAACTACAACTTTGCACTGTGCATTAACACGTTTATATGTGCCCAAAGTAGCTAATATATTGTTGACCTGGTGCAGAAATGCATGAAGTGACTGAGAAATGGATGAAAATATGGCACTCGTTATGTAGAGTTCATTGGTGAGGGAGAAATAGGAGGGAGAGAATCGAAGAGACCCGATGACGTTACCTAGTCATGGGGCTCATGGTCATCGTCCTTTCACTCATGAAGTTCCTCTTCTCTTCGTTTCCAGTCGTGACTCACCCAGCATTCTGAGTCCGTCTTTCTGATCAGATCCGCGATCTTCCACCGCAAACGCTTCTTCCAGTTCACCAACAGATCAGTTTCATTTAACATAGCCCTATTCGGTTCAGCATAAGGTAGGCTAAGTTAGAACTACGTTTTGATCGAGTGTGATTGCCACGTTCAACTTGTAATGGTAAGCCTATTACAGTGCTTTTCACTTGAGTTAGACAATTAGACAACATGTGCATGGGACGTTCCTCAAGCATGAGTGTTGAAGTCAAGTGAAAAACACTGTATTAGGCCTATGCCTTGCAGTTGGTCCAAAGTTAGGCCGTGACTTTTATGTGCAGTATGTGTAATTAGACAACATGTGCATGGGACGTTCCTCAAGCATGATTGTCGAAGTCAAGTGAAAAACACTGTATTAGGCCTATGCCTTGCAGTTGGTCCAAAGTTAGGCCGTGACTTTTATGTGCAGTATGTGTATATGAATTAGAATTTCTCTTTGGCAATGTCGTTTGGTTGAGCTGGCTCGGCCCAGACTTCCAGGCCAAGCTAGGAATTGGGATCTCTAACATCACTCCTATCGTGTTGAAGCTTCCGTCATCCCACCAAATGTAAGCATATCTTTCCAGGTAGAGGAAGGTGCTTTCTTTGCCTTGTGGAAAGATTTTGGGCAATCTTTTTTGACTTAGCAGCACAAAACCAAACAGCTTTTCATTATTTAATGGAATCATGGTAGTTTCAGATCTTACATTTAGAGATCGACCGATATATTGGTTGATCTCTTGTATGAGTGTTTTGGCCAGTATGGCATCATCGAGATGCGAGGAACTGCAAGTCTATCACTCTGCTTCCGTTTTTATTCTCAGAAGTTAGGCGTATTTATGGCTTTGGGAAATTCAACAGTTAAAACAATAGACGCTCACCCTAAGGGTTAGGTTTCGCTGATGATTGCCCGAAAGTACAAGGACTGTTCATTTAATTCGCGGACACTGGGAGGGGACTTCTGTCCTTGCCTGACCCTGTCTGCGAATTAAATGAATAGCCCTCATTTATAATTTTTGGCCTGCTGCCTTACGTTAATCCTCCCATTTATCCAGGGTGTAAAACATAGCGGGAGTGTAGGCCTAAGCAAGTCTTAAAGGCCCTCCCCTGTTCAACTATGATATTTCTAATACTCACCTACTGAAACTTTTAAAATGTTTAGTTCTCTTCAGGGCTTATGCACACCCGATGGCGTCTGATCTCCCAAAAAAATATCCCGACATCAAGAAGCGGGGATATATCCTTGAAATTCGGTTTCGGAACTCGTTGGGCTAGTGAAACACTCCGATTCCGTAAAGGCCGTTCTCTACATCACATAATT